TGGGTGAATTCTTAAGATATTTAAATAGTTTTATCTACTTTCAAAATACATCACAGACAATTTAAGTTTTAAGTTTACCAGCAAACGAATAAAATTTTTAAATGCATATATTTATAACAAATGCTTTTTATATTAATATATATATACGAATAATTGTACCGTACAAAGGTATAATTATAATATAAAAAAATAGATTAATATGGTGTGTGGTTAAATCTGTAATGGCATTTCTATATGTTAAAAACTGTAAAACTGATCACGTCCATTTGAGATTTATATTTTATTGTAAATAAATAGATATTATATAGAACACGCTAAAGAGTTACTAAATTTCTACAACTAATTCAAATTTTAAATAATGACCTTAGTTAAAATTAAATATTTAGAAGACAAAGATCACGTGTTTAATCGAAACCTCATATGGCCGTGAATGTCAACAATCACATTGTCGTTTTTGTGAATGTCTGAAATATTTGTTATCCGATTTAATATTAATTTATTCGTTGATATGATTATATTTATTCGATAATTTAATATCTGCTGAAGAAACATCAGTGTTTGGAGTACATGTTAAATGCATACTAGTTAGTGACACTTTACCTTAAAAAGTATTGATGTAGAGCATACCGAACAAATGTATACCGGGCAGTGGCTCTGAATCTTAAAAAACATTGAGGGCATACCGTGCAAATATATACCAGGCAGTGGCGCTGAACCTTAAAAAAAACATTGATATGGGGCATACCGGGCAAAAATATACCAGGCAGTGACTCTGTACCTTAAAAAAAACATTAATGTAAAGCATACCGGGCAAATGTATACCGAGCAACGGCACTTAATTAGTCTTAGTATATATTTTGGACATTTACTAAAGCGAGTATTCAATTGTCAACATTCACCAACAACCACCAATTCCGGTCATTCGCAGTAACATATACATTCCAATTTCTTGAGGTACGCGAAGAACTATTTGGTGCCATAAAGCTATGTTTTTACCAGATATGAGAAACTAGCGTATATGCATTATCGTTTCAAATCAGAGGCTTTAATTTCCGAATTATTCAAAAGAAACAAAAATATTTTTTTAACTGAATAAACTGTTCTAACTCTAGTAACTCTAAAAATGTTTTCATTTGATAGGTGAAGAATGGACCCGTACATCCCCAAGAGTCTCCATATCATTCCAAACTGCCATCGATATATCACTGCCTCCAACTAACAACAACAACAATAACATCGTTAACGATCAAAGTGATATAAAAAAAGAACTCAATTCCACAGATTCTGGAATTCTCATTAGTCTTCCATCAAGTCAGTCTGTTAAAGACGATGCCTCTTCCGTAGGAGGCAAAAGCCTGGACTCTGGAGTCTATGAAGTACTTGGGAAAGTGTGTCTTCCTCAAAATGGGGTTTCCAAACCACACTCTGGTGGGTCTGGTAAGCACCCTAACTGGACTGCCTCGCTGAGAAGGTACAGTGTAAGGAGCTTTAAAGATGGGCCTCACGAGGAGGAAGAAACACTGCTGGCTATATGTGTACAAGTCTTCATTCCATTCCTTATTGCTGGAGTGGGCACCTGTGGTGCTGGTATCGTACTAGACTATGTAGAGGTGAGCATGTTATCGTTTTCTTGTTTGGATATCTGAATGAATATACTTCTCAAAGACCATAATAAAATGTGTAAATTGAGACATTTTAAATATTTATATACTGTTTAACACTGTCATATTCAGCAAAAACAGGATTAAAATGATCTAAATGCATTAAAATGATCTAAATGCATTAAAATGGTCTAAATGCACAGACAGTTCGCTTGTTGCTATATGTTTCTATTAAAAAAATCATACATTAGTTTTAAACTACATTTTCTTTCTGGTGATTCAGAGCTATTGTTGACAAATCTAGATCAGGAATACCATATCAAGTAAGAATCGTTCAGAAATATTGGTTACGAATGCAATGCAGACACGCTGCGCTGCGGTAAAGCCAGAGACCGAAAGATGCAAAACTGGTCACAATTGATATTTTATTAGACAAATCTGAGTTTAGCCAAAATTTTTGTTTTATAATATACTTCAATCAAGACATTCGAAATTGCACTCAAAGAATACTATAATAAGAACCTTGTAGTGTTTTTCAACATTATGTTATTCTGTGTTATGTGTTTTGGAACTATGTAAAGCACATAGAATGACCTAAGAGACGAACAAGCTTCATAAAACGTATAAAATTGGTTAACTGCAACTAACATTATCTTAGGTAATTTGTGGCATTTATTGATTCAGAAGCCAATCAGGTTCGAAACACTCGCGTGACGTTACTTGCAGGTATCCAATTAAATCTGACTTATATCATGTGTTTAGGCATAATCACTTCACTTCTTCTCTAGTTGCAAATACCCAGTTGCTAAAAGATGAGGACATTTTAAATGACTACAATTAAATAGTTCCCGGGTTGTCATAATCCTTAGTAATAAACACCACTTATAAAGGTAATTTTAACTAATATATGCCATAAACCCACTTTATTTTGAATCTAATGTTAAATAAGGGGGCAACAAAATGTTTCGCTTTTATTAATATGGAAAGAACTGAAACCTATAACAATCCATTCTATTTGCGTAAGCTATAGTATTTTATGAAATGTCTGTAAATTTTTTTTTCTCAGAATGTTTTCATGTATTTATTAGTCAGCAAAACATAACACAAATTCTGGACTAAACAATTCTAAATCTATTTAATAATAACAGTTGGGCTGAAAAGTTCGTAGGCTGACACATAGATGGGGCTACTATTATTAAAAACATTTAAATTTTAGTTAGTTCTAACCTTCGAAAGACACGTGTATAAATCTGACAGCTGTCGGACTAACAGTTTGTGAGATATATTATTTTTAGTGAAGCAACTTTTGTTAGT